GATGTGCTAGATGGCAAATATTTTTATACTCACAATGTGTTGGCAGGTTGCAAGCAGGTACTGTTAAGGAAAAAAACCAACGCCACACCATTTTTGTGAGCCTAATACATTGAAGGAAACAGTTTCCTCCAACTGGCATTCTCATCAGCAGCTTTACTGGAAAACCAGTGAAATATAGATGGCAATGCAGCAGACTATGACATGAATAAATGACATTCTGATGTGAGGAGAAAAGAAGTGCATGACCAGAGATCCTGAGAAGCTTTGGAAGAAAACTCAAATTTGCCTGGCTAAAGTTGAATATTCGTTCCCTTCCCAAGCTTCTAAATTCCTATAATGGAAACAGTGTACCACAGAGGAAAGTTAATAGAGTGACATTGACATGTTAGATAAAATAGATTTTATCTACCTTTAGCATGATTGAGCCAAGAGAGAGGAAAGAGATTCCAGAGAAAGATGAACTGGTGAGGGACATGGTGCCTATTCTTACCATTCAAATCAGTAGAGGGTGAGTGGCAGTGAAATGCATGTATTAAAACCTCCAAGAAATCTGAGGAAATAACAGCAATATGTTATGGGAGAAAAGGTGACATAAAACTGGGGTACTTCCAAACAGAATATTGAAGTAGCCTTCCTCCAGAAGTATCAGCAAAGTAGGAAAACATGCAATAACAGAAATTGCATTTAAAAACAAAAAAAAGTTAAAAAGGGTGGTTTGGCCTTACTTCAAAGATATTATAGAATTATTGTCACTGTTAACTGAAGATGACCACAAATCATTTAATGCCATTGCAAATATACTCAGAAGAGTACAAGACTCATTTTTCAGCTATAGCAGCATAACTTGTAAAATGAATACAGATCTGAGGGGAAACACACACCTTAAAAGAACCGTTTACTTCACCAGAATTCAGAATAATATTCAATCACAAGGCAATTTTTTTTTTATTCTTAGTAAACTGTAGGTATGAAGTCTGATCTAACAACACCTAGTGATACTGTTTTAAAATTCCATTCACAACCCTCAAAAAGCTGGATATTTCTGCTAAAATTATTAACACTGTAATAACTAATAATAATGGAATTTTTAAGGTTTCACTTTAGTCTTAAACTTGATATTCCACTGGAACATTTTATACCTCTCAGAGCCATAATTACTATTAGGAAAACAATGTTACATATATTGCCAAAACCCATGGTGAATGCAGCGTTGGGATTGCCAAGTATGCCTTGTTGCCATCCAGAGTGCATTAAGTGTACATTATCTTTGTGCCCTTGAAGCTGGCAGGAAAAACTAGGACCAAACAATATCAAGGACATGTTTTTAATGCAGTCTTCCATCTTCTGTTTTGCACCCCATGTGGTCCTATCCTGCGTCTTCTGTTCATGTATTCTTACTTACCTCCACTGTGTTAGGCAGGACTCGGTCACACTGGTAACTGAGGGGAAGTATAGTGGCAGCTGAAGTAATGGGGGATCTTTTTTGTGGGTGATACAGGAGATTGAAGTCAATACTCATAACCATCCTTCTTAGATTTCAAAGCCTCTGCATATTTCTAATAGTTTTAAAGCTGTCTGTAGGTTTTCAGCTTGCTGCTGGAATCACTTCCACATGCTGGCAACCTAGCGAATAGTTAACAAGGAGAGGGAAGACAGAAATAGTTTGTGTTCATCAGACATCCCTTTGCACTTTCTCAGAACAGGCTTCTGCAGTAGTATTTTCACAGAATCATATCTCCTCATGGTTATTCTGACTATGCTAGTGCCCTAAGGATTTCTGTAGGTCTAGCATCATTCTCAAGAGGTTACAGGCAGAAGTAATCTCAAAGGCAACCCATAGATAAACAGGCATATCTATAGAGGGATATCTTTTTTTTCCATTAAGCCTGATCTAAATTTGACCTTTAGCTTAGTGAAGACGTGTCCTAAGGCTGTCTAGTAACCCATCCTTTTTCACTGTCAGTCATGATGTTCCCAGGTTCAGGCAAGTTGCATCCTCACACAGTCAAAAAGAGGCTCACTGGGGTCTCTCTCAGTGGAGCAGTACTGTGACAAAGGAAAGACAGAAGATGGAAGATAAAGCGTGCATATTAACAAAATATGCTAATTTCCCTGACAAAAAAAAATAAAATAGAAAGAAGATAGAAATTAAAAACCATGTTATTGTAGTCTTTTAAGATGTTGGTTGGAAAAAGTATAAATTTGGGAGGGTAATTGGAAAAACAAGAACTGAGTTAATCATGATGTGAGTTGAAGGTTTTTGGGAAAAAGTTCTGCTTCTATTCATTCCTGCCTCACAACTCTCTAGCAGGCTGGTTGAGCTATAACACAGTAAAACACATAATGCAAGCAGTGCAGACCAGTACATCAGTAGCACCTGGAAGTAGTTTATATCAGACCAATACTTTCAGAGGTGTCATCAAATCAACAGTAGCATATCGGTTTATTTATTATCCTAGCATATCTGCACTTCTCATTTTGAATGACTTTTTGAATTAAACATACTACAGAGTGCATCTTCGATGGCATCTTCAGCAATTTTATAGATTATTTGATACCAATGCAATATTCGTCCCTATTAATTTATTTGGTCTGCTTGCTGGTACAATTAATAAGGTACAGGAGACAAACCCAAAGCTCAAAGCAAGGTAGTGGAAGGGTTTTTTTCACTTCCCAGGCCTTTGTATAAGGTCTTAAGAGAGAAAAACAATGGTGGGGATTCAATAACCATATAGATTCTCCTCCTCTACCCATTACAGTTTTTGCTGCTGATTAACTCTCTAGACCACAGTCTCCTTGCAGTGAGGAGTACTTTCACATTAAAGTGAAACAGATGTGAGAAGATTGACTTTAAATAAATTTCATGCTAGTTAAAATAAATGGAAAGTTATATCCCCAACTTGTAATGGAAAACTGATACTCATCAGAATTATCACCCATCCACATACTTCCACTCAGCCAAGATTTTTAAACTAAAAACTGCACAACTTAGTTACCAAATCCTCGTTATCTGTATGTTTTGTCAAAACTCCCTAAGAAGGGGTTTGCCTGCTTCTTGTATTTCTACAAACCTCACCTCACTTTCAGCAGAGGCAAACATTTATACACAATTCAGATTACTACCAGAAATTTTGGGACTGCTCAGTGTATAATCTTTCTCTACCACAGCAAGCATAAGCTCATTGCCTTCACCTGTGGCTTATGCTTCCCCATTTTATTTTCATTAAGGCATTGCTTGTTATTATGGTGCAAACTCCTCTTGCTGCCTGTAACATCATGCAGTGTTTGAGCAAACACTATCACCCTTCATCTGATCTGATGTTGGCTCTCTCCATTTCACTTCTAAAAGAGCTTCTCTTTAACTTCATAGGCCTCTTCAAATGCTTCCGTAAAGCTCTCCCTCTCTGTGACATCTGGAGAATACTTACCACGCAGAGGCTATTGATAGGCAGAAACCAAGCATGTAGATCATTATTATTTTAATATCTCTTTGTAGTCTTCCTTCTGTCTGTATCCCATTTACCATATATATCAGCACATGAGTGTAGAGTCCTGGTTTAGGATGGAGATTATATAAGCAATAATATCACAAAAAATAAATTAATTTTTGCAGCATGGGATGAAATACATATGCACATACATTACTTCAGTTGTCATAATACTGGTTTTGGAAGAAATCTAAACAGATGCAGCTGTTCTGCTTGTGCCATTGCCTATTCTGTTTTAATCACAATTGCCGATAGCAGACTGTTGCAGCAGCAGCTTTGCATTTCCAATTGAAAATCTTGGGTTTAGCAATTCATGAACTGTGTCTAAAAATATATCCTCATTTGAAAACTGGCATTCAAGCTACAGTCTAGAAGCAGTTCCTGTTTAAATATATTTAGTTAGTTCAGCAATTTTATCTAAGAGCACAAAGATACCTTTGTTGTTCCAGAAAGCATTATTCCATTTTCCTATGTTCAGAAGTGACTGTGATGACATTGTTCTGCATTTCAATTATCTCTAATATGAGCTTTTATAAAAAGATAATTCATTTGCCATGTGTCAGCTTGGTACTTCCTTTCCATTTGACAGTCAGTGCTGAGTAGCAATAGGAAGCCACCGTCAGTAGTCATATAGGTTAGAAAGAGAACTATAGAATGCCAAAATCCTGTGGAAATACCTGGTCCTTTGATTTAAATTGGCAAATATAGGCTGAAGACTATATGCCTAATTTACAAACTTACTACAGAACAAAATGGCTTTGGCCCTCCAAGTTAAACAAGCATCCAGCCAGGAGAAAGTCTTCCCAGTTGCTAACAGCACAATAAAAGGAAGTCCTCTAGGACAATGTAAAACTCTTCCAGAGAATGAAGGTCCCAAGTCACTGAGATCCTCTCCCAGCTCATTTGTAATTCCTTGTTCAGGTTTATTACCCTTTTTTTCTCAAACCTGGGAAGGTTTTACAATGAGTAGACATTTACTCCAGTCTGTGGCGGGCTCTATGAACCTCAGAGTGGCTGAGTGAAGTTATAGAGCTGTCAGTGTCTCCATCAACTCTTCTGCACTTTACCTGAAGATCTGCCAAATCACAGGGGAGGAATTAAAAAAGAAAGGCACAGGCTAGCTGGCTTGGGGTTTTGCACATTACCAGAGATTGCTAGACACCAAAATTTTCAACTGATGGATACTTTTTACTTAGGACTTGTGTATTTACATGCTACCTTGAACCTGCTAAAGGTCTGAATGGGGATGTGGCAGCCACCAGTATTTAGAAAGGGAGCATCTGCCCTCTGTAAACCTCATAAATATAATTCATAATGAGGTTCATTCAGCAATTTATTCAAACATTCCAAACTGTGTGGTTACACAGGCCTAGAACAGTATAACCCCTGTCCTCATGTTGGTTTAACTATACACAGATATGGAGCATTGCCCACCATACATATTTGTACATTTGACTTCTGCCAAATAATGCAGGCATATGCTATCTGTAAGGATGTCAAGTGCATAATTTAATAGTTATTTGATTAATTTGAATATCCATGGCACAAAAATGCATTATTTGCTTACAAACATGGGTAAGGTAAAATTAAAGAAAAAAAATGTAAAGGGTCAAATTTCCAGACAAAATTCACTACAAATTATTTTCATCTTATGTATACAATTAGAGCCCATCAGAAATATAATTATGCATGCAAACTGTTTGAGTGGAGGTCATACCAGCTTCTGCATAGGAAAATTCCCCTAGGGAGGTAGATTGCTCATCCAGATTACTTACTGGGCTCAGAAAGCCAAGATTTTTAAATAACAGTTGTTAGTGATTTAATAATACATGAATGCAGCTCTGAGGTTAAAAAATAAAGCACAGAAAATAAAATCCAAAGGGAATAGGATAAGGCTAATGGGCAAATTAATGTATTTGAATTTTTCTTTACATTATCAGTCATGCTTTGTTGACTTCATCATATTGTGTTGCTGTTTAACAGCATTGATATCTTAACTCTAAAATATTCAATTAATATTTTCTTAAATGGAATTAATTAGAAAAATACGATGGTATTCCCATAGTGTGATCCTGACTTCATTCTTTACTTCTTTATTCCTTCACTTGCCAGGAAGAATTGGAAACACTGCATTCAGTTCCACTGATTCAGGTCTTTCCTGTAAAACATACTGAATTGCAGCTGGTTAGTCTCATTTATTAATTCTAGAACGGGTCTTTTTAGAGATGACTTCAGGAAAATTTGTCCTTTTATGAAATGTTCATATTTTGCTTCAATGAAAGATTTGTTTTGACTTCTTAGACATAATTCTAAAAAGATATAGCATTATTAATTACTGCTATGAATTAGTAGAATTATGGAATAGCATTGGATAAAGGTTTTCATTTGTAGAGTGGGCCAAGCTTATGTACCTCAGCTAATTTCCCTGTTTTTTATTTTTCAAGCCCATTCTGCTAAAAAAAGAACAAACCAGTTCTGCTAATGTTTGCAGAAGTCAAATTCCATTGCTTTGTAATAAGCAAACATTACAAAACTGACATTGCTAAGACTTTATCACTGAAAATGTCGATAGCCCATGTAGAAATTAAGATAATTTTTAAAATCAAAGTTTAAACAGATATTGGATCAAAAGTTCAGTGTGTTAAAATTAACACATGGTTAAATCATCATTTGGCCAGATCACCCAATTTAGAAAGATGGCAATCAAATCACAGAAGTTAAAGGATCAAAGATTTATTTATTAACCCTGTATTAGATGATCAAAGAAAATTAAACCGGTTTAATTAAAACTTTCTTATTCCTCTTTCATTCCCAGCACACAACAGTGACATTGAAATAGTTGGTATGGGATCTTTCTACCCATGTTGATTGTAGTCCCTAGTTACAGTTATTAACTGAAGCCCTAAAATCAATTTAGCTAGTCTTAAACAGCTTCTTAAGTTTCATATGCAGTGCTATTACACAATTTCAAAATTAGGCTTTGTGCTTTGTAATTGTGCAGTTGATCCGATACATCTCACAGGATGGAGAATCCACAATGGAGCCCACTGGGCTTTCAGCCTCCCTCAGCACTGGCCCCCCTTTTTGTCTCTCAGGTGTTTTACTTGATTAATCTTGTATTGTACTTGATGAAATGCCTGCAGGTTTCAGACACCGCTCATTGATAAAGAGAGTGATCAGGTCTTATCTCCAGGCAGAATAACTTCATAAAGGCCAGTTAGAGACTGTTACTTCTGAAGATAGAAAATAGCTAGAGAAAGTGCTGTTGAGGATGAATCCTGTGGGATAGTCACTACTGCAATCACTTGGTTGCAGGTGAAAAGGTGAAAAACAGAGTCTCGGGCTGCCTTTAGAGAAAAAAGGCCGCTTATTTTAAATAAATAGGTGATAGCCATATGATCTACTCTGAGTATTTTTGCCTGGTTTGGGTATTCACAAGCTCATAGAAACAGCTGCAAGCCTCATTGTTAAGACTTTCATTCACCCCAAAGGATCTTATGTTCCCTGAACATACTGGAAATCAGCTGAACAAACCCATGATCAATAGCCCTATCACAGCACCAGGCATAATATCTAAGGGAGAATATATGAAGCTTTGCTAATTTTTACACTGTATGGTTTATATCCATTTAATAAGAAAGAACTAATACCAAAGATCTGCTTTTCCATTTTATCAAGCTAAGCTCCATATAATATAAAACTGTTTAAGTATAAGCCAAGTTGTTATCATAGCTGTCAGTCTTCCAGTGCATTCTTTAAAAATTAAAGTGTACATGGATTGACATCATAGCAGTTTTAGCAACAGAGTAAGAGCCCATAGAATTCGCATAGCTAGTGTGTCATAAGTTGCAGTTTCCATAAAAATGTTAAAATAACTTAGCCAATACTATCATAATAAATTTCTTAAAAAAGAATGTAATAAAATAAATTATGTGAAGTGGCCTTCATTTAAAAATTAATGACATATTTCGACCCATTTTTCTAACTGTTTATGTACCACTTTGATACATTCAATGTATCAATATCAGTATACTGGAATAAGCACTATCAGAATGAGAGGCCTCACTGTTTTTATTGTTCATTCCAGTCATTGTTCTAAGTCAACTATTTCAGTCAAAACTAAACCTTCGGACCAAGCTTAAACCTGATATGTCTCCATTTGTTTATTGATTCCAGCTAAGACAGGACCTCAGAAAAAGTAAGTACAAATTATTTTTTTCAGTATATTCCAGGTATTCAATTTGGATTTCTTTCTGAGAGACACAGGCATAAGCTGCTTCAATACTGTCAGTACCTCTGACTCAAACTTTTTGTATCTTTCATTAAGTTAATTGTCTTTCTCTGGATTTTCTCCAGAAACTGTATTTAGCAATTGAGGGAAAAAAGCAATTCAGTCTACAAGGTCACAATATTCTGTAGCTTTGTCTACTCCATCTGTTTTAAGGTGAGATGTTTTTTGTCTCCAGGAGTTATCAAAGGAAACTTTATGACTAAAGACAAGAAGGGCTAGTAAGGCATGTGGGAAGAAGGAGAAGCATTTTCTAAGGTTTTCAAGGGTCAGTGCAGTGCAATTCTACCTTTTGGCTCTGAATCTGTAGAAAACTATAGAGGGAGCCTAGAAAGATTAGCTTGAATGGCTAAAGTTACCTTTTTGGAATACCTCACAGCTGCCAAACTCTTAGGTGGCTAAATTTAGATGAGGTAAATCCCATTCTCAGTGTGGTGCATTTAATCATGAGCTATTTTATAGCAACTATCTCCTACTGATGAAAATTAGAGAAGAATACAATTTTTTTTCTGGATTGGGGTTATGAATATATATAATTTAGGATAATTTTGAAATGTATTTTCTTAAAAAAATTATCAATGTTTTAGAATAAATATTTTTGATGGATTTAAAGAAAAGAAATAAACCCAAGCAGCAAGGTAGTAGTAATTTTTTAGATTATTGATCCTTTGAGATAATTGTGTTCTTGTGGGGAAATTACTGTGAATCCCTGTCACAGGAAATGACCTGTGAAATAAAGTCCAAAGATTTTTAGAATAGTGTCTGAAAGCCTAAGTTTTGTGCTCCCAATGCTTCCTTTGTAATTTTTTAGGATACCTTATTCATGAAACATTTGTGTAAATGGAAATGGTAATCCAGATCTTTATGTAAACTGGAATCTGTCTCTCCAAGATTTCCAGAGTTTTGTCTTTTGTGGGCTGGATCCACATTGTTCTATCTCTTTCGAAATACAGATCAGAGATTGTGTCTTGAAACTAAATCTTTCACATTAAGTATTCTTAAAATTTTATCATACTGTTTTCTCATGCCACGGCTTTACATTTCTCTGTAAGAAAGAGCAGATTAAAAGGAGAAAAAATTCAGTACTTGAGGGGTGGTTGTTTACACAGATTCCTTTCTCCACTATATCAGTTTCAGAGAAGAGATATCAGTGTTCTGTACTGTCATACTTCTTTTATCAAGCCATGTATCCAAATCATTGCAAGAACATTGACTTTTGAGCCTTTATATTTGCTAGCTTAGCAGGAATGGCAGTTTTTCACTTTCTTTCGCTCTTTCTTTCATTCTCTTTCTCTCTTTTTCTTTCATTCTTTCTTTCTCTCTTTCCCTTTCTTTCTCTCTTTCTTTCCCTTTCTTTCTCTCTTTCTTTCTTTCTCTTTCCTTCTCTCTTTCTTTCTCTTTTTCCTTCCTTCCTTTCTTTTTCTTTCCTCCCTCCCTTCCTTCCTTACTTCCTCTATCCCTTCTTGCCTTCCCCTTTTCCTCCTTTCTTCCCTCCCTCCCTTCTTTTTTCCTTTCTTTCCTTTCTTTTTTTTTCTTTCATTCCCTCTTTTTATCCAAGATTTCTCATGATAGTTTTGTACTTCTTTTGCTTCCTTGTTTTCCACTGTTCTGGAATTCCAGTACAGTGAAACAAAAGTAAGACTGTACATGATCTTGCTTTTGCAGATGCTACACTGTGAACTGTGAAAGGTCTATGTAAATTTCAGAATTGCCACAATATCCATCTGCTAACAGAAAGAAAATTAAACAGCAATATGTAGTTTATAGGCCTATCCTCTCACTTTATGATTTTGGAGAATGCAAAAAATCCACATAAATGTCATTCATGTTTGACCTGTTCTTACATAAATGAGTGGCATAATAAAGAAATCTTCAAGATATCCTACTTTAGATTCTACCCATGGGAAAGGGCTCTTCTTTTTGCCAGTTCACTAAGACTTGCCTCATAACTGTCAGATCTTTGTGCTATAACACATACATCGTAGCTGAAAACAAGACACAAAATAAATAAATTCAGGGAATTTCATGAGCTGATTTAATCACGTAAGTGCCTTACACAGTAACTGTTCTTACAGCTGTCTATGTGGGTAAGTATTTCCTGTCAAACTCAGAGTTGTAATTTCACGTTTCAAGTGAAAAGAGCATGGGCTATGATCTGAATTTGGAAACCTCCATATTTTAGTGTCTGGCTATCAAACTCCTCCTCACACAATAATAAATTATTTGAAAGTATATAAAATACTTTAATAACTAAGGGCAAAAGAGTACCATAATGTATCTAAACATTTTTCATTTTAAAGAACTATCCACAATTCTGTTAATAGCTATAGCAATTCTGGCAGAGATATCAATCATATTAAAAAAATACTATATCATGGCTGGGCTTTGCAAATGAAGATTTGGGAAGGGCTCTACCCACAGTTGCTACAAGCATGCTGGTGGTTAAAAAGGCCAATACGAGATAGACACGTCTGGTTGCAAAAGGCACAGCAGAAAGACTCCTTAGGTGGTATATTCTGTAAGACACGATTCTTTCTGCATTGTCTTTTCTCCTCAAGGGTGATCCTGCGTGCTTTCTCAAAAGCATCAGCAGCGTTATAGATGGTGTGTCTCCAGACCTCCTGATTGGAGGCCAGAGTAGACCAGTTACGGTGGTCAATATGGCCAAGGCTGAGATGTTGTTTCAGGGAGTCCTTGTATCTTCTCTTTGGGGCTCCTCTCTTGCGGCAGCCGGTGGCAAGTTCACCATAGAGCAAGATCTTTGGGAGGTAGTGGTCCTTCATCCTGGAGATGTGCCTGCCCATCGCAGCTGTGTTCTCAGCAACATGGCCTCAATGCTTGTGACTGCTGCTTGTTCTAGAACAGATGTATTAGTCACATAATCTGACCAGTGGATGTTTAGGATTGTACGAAGGCAGCATTGATGGAAGCGTTCTAGGAGATGCAGGTGGTGGAGGCCAGATGACCAGATGTGGAACACAATATCTATGTGAAGTGATAGATATCAAACATATGGACGCTTTATAATACTTGAATGTGATAACCTAACCCAACAATACCCACAGAGATAAATCTGCATAGTTGGGCTTTTTGGAAAAGTTTATTTTTTTACATTTGCAATGCTGCACATTATGCTGTTGTTCCTGTTGACAAAGCAATATCATAATCAAGTAAAAACAGACAGGAAGTGGCTTACATCAGTCACCACTAGATGTTTCCTATACTACTGTAAAATAATAAATGTCGCCAACATAAACAAATTAAAAACGGGTAGTGTTTTAAAAAGCTAGATATCAACATTACTGTAGTATTATTGATATTAAACTGGACAAATACTAAAAGCTTGGCATTAGCAGATACTGTAATACAAATGAATTACAATTATCCCCTCGTACAAACCCCAGGCTGGATACCAAACCATGCCCTAACTGCCAAGTATAGCTTATATCTTCCCTACCTCTGGATTCCTCAGTTTACTGATTGTCACCCAGTGGGTCAGTCATGGAAGGACCCAGCACAACCGTGAAGTGCAGTGGAAGTCAGCTCCTGCATTCCTAGTGATCTTAGCTACACCTCCTGGTAATGTTTTTACAATTCTCTATAATTACTTTTCTCATTGTTTCTACAAAATACATTATGAACCAGGTGCTTCTCTGTTTTGAAATGTTTGTGTAAGTAGCTTTGCACTCATTTGTCAAATAAATTAACCTGGCACATTCCTTAATACCTTTATTTTTTCTAACTAATTGTAAATCATTCATGCTCAGTCAAATGTAATCCTTAATGCTCTGCTGGACTTTAATCAAATAATGAAACTAGTGATACAGAAACTACAATAGGATTTTAAATCACTACAGATTCTTTGGATAACATTACAAATGCTGTCTTGTCACATGCCCAAAGACTGCACTTACCAAATGTCTTCTTACTGACTGAGGTGGGTTGAATCTGGCTGGACACCAGATGCCCACAAAAGTCTTTCTATCACTCCCCTCCTCACCTGGGCAGGGGAGAGAAAATAAAACTAAAGGCTCCTGGGTCAAGATAAGGACAAGGGAGATCACTCAGCAATTACTGGTCATGGGAAAAACAGATTCCGCCCAGGGAAACGAATTTAATTTATTGCAAATCAAATCAGAGGAGTATAATGAGAAATAGGAACAAATCTAAAAACCACCTTCCTTCCACTTCTCCATCTTCCCAGGCTCACCTCTACTCTCAAATTCTATACCTCCTCACCTCCAGCAGTGCAGGGGGATGGGCAATGGGGGTTGTGGTCAGTTCCTCAAATGCTTCTGCCAGTCCTTCCTCCTCAGAGGACTCCTCACACTCTTACCCTGCCCAGTGTGGAGTCCCTCCCACAGGAGACAGTCCTTCATGAACTTCTCCAACATGGCTCCTCCCCAGAGGCTGCAGTTCTTCACAAACTGCTTCTGTGTGGTCCCTTCCAGGGACAGATTGTCCCAGCATGGTTCCCCTACAGGGTCAGCAAACCTGCTCCAGCATGGGTTCCTCTCTCCATGAGGCCACAGGTCCTGCTAGGAGCATGTTCCAGCATGGGCTTCCCAAGGGGTCACAGCCTCCTTCAGGCATTCCCCTGCTCTGTTGTGAGTTCCTCTATGGGATATCTGCTCCATGGTGGGTATTTGCTCCACTGTGGACCTCTGTGGGCTGCAGGGGGACAGCCTGCCCCACCATGGTCTTCACAATGGGCTGCAGGGGAATCACTTCTCCAGCACCTGGGAAATGTAAGAAGTCACAGGAAAGCTGAAACTTGAGTGAAATTAGTTAAGAGACAAGTGTCCTCATTGCAGAACAGTAAGTAAATAGTATTTGCAAATACATGCAAGTCCATTCCTAAGAAACAAAACAATATATATATAACATAGCATGTTACACCTTAATACCTTCAGTCCTTTTTGAGTGTTTTTGCTTTTCATTCCAGCCCCTCTTGCCTGTCCGGCTTTTCTCACGCAACTATTTTACAAACTTAAGAAACGTATCTTTGCAACATTCCCTACAACAATGTATTTGCAGACAAAATGGAACAGCCAGTAATTGCAAGACTGCTCATGTCCACAGGCAAGTTCTCTGGCAGAAGGTCAAGTCCATTTCAGAGTCTGAACTATAAAGCTCTTTTGTGTACCTAGAAAGGGTCTTTTTTAGTATTTGTTTTCCATTTACACTGAAAACAAATTTGCGAGTTTCCATTGGTACCTCAGGGACAAGTATACCATGTAGTGCCACTGCCAAGTGAAGATATTGTTGGTATTCCAACCCTCAGCCTTTTTGCATCAATTCTACATACTGGTATATAGCTCTACGTGGGTCATACAGAGTGTGGATAATTACTTGAGTTAGCAAAAATACTGTGGAAAACAGTTAAATTTAATTAAATTGAGCTGCTGATCTGCTTTACTGTATTGCCTCCACAAGCAGCTACAGCTACAGAAGTGAGTGACTTGGGGTGGCACCACTGCACATCAAACCATGGCTTTAGGGACTACAATCAGTGGATCTACTACACGTGTCTTTATGATCCTTCTTATTTAAGTATATATGTATTAAATAAGTGTGTACTTACAGAAATAGATCACTTCTATATGTTACCAACAGGATGTACAGTTCACTCCCTCTCTTGGGGCATGAGAAAGGTTTGTCTTCTCACAACAGTTTACAAGATGGTGTGGCTGTGGAGAATAAATTTGTTCTCCTGAGAGCAACAGCAATGCAATGGGTGCTGTAGTGAAAGCCATGGTTTTATGGTCATCCTTAAGAAAACTCTTTGAGATCCTGACTCCAGAGGATGACAACACAGGTAAGAGACCCCTCTTCCTCTTTGCAGCTTGCCTGAAATGGCTCAGGCTTTAGACCTTTATTTCAGTTGGCTGAAGTGAGGCAAGCCTATGTAAGGGGGGTATATTAGTGTAAATAATCAAAAATTTTTCCTTTCCTGAAGAACATGCCCCAGCATATTTGAAATAGTTCACTGTTCTCTCAGTACACCCATTAAGTTACTGTTTAAGTCCTAATTCAGAGTTGTACTATCTTCCAAGAAAACGTTTTGGTTTTATTGGTACACTAGTAATTACATACATGGATCAATTATTTCACTGTTTTTCTGTGCAGTCCATATATGTCTGTGTGCTTAATTATAAAATAATGTAGGATTTATTTGCTATGTTTTTAATATACTGGCCAAATTCCCAGTTCATTATTGCTTGATGAAATAATAGTTAAGTTAAAACATGTTGATTTTTTTTGCTGTCTATTTATTTTTGTTATTAGTTTAACTTTAAGGCAGAAATATACATCTTATCGTAATCTGAACACCATTGTAGAGCAAAGCAGATGGGATACTGTAAATTGAGCAGACTTCAAGGTACTCCAGTCTAGCATGATAATCTTTCTCCTGCTAGATAACCAAAGACTAAATTATTTCCTTTATTTAGGACCCATCCTCTGACAGGAGCAAAGAATGAATGATCCTTCTTGGAGCACAGATATGTATCCTGAAAAGTATTAGACACTGATCTTAGTCCAGCAGCTAAGTATCTAAGGACTTCAATGAGTGAGGGCCAGAGCAATCAGCACCTTGCAGAAGGGAGTTCGTAGTGAAGCAGCCTCTGCAGGAGATGCAATCACTGCTCTTAAGAAACGAGCAGGCTGTTGCAGTATGTGGCTCAGTTAAGAGTGAAAAAAAAAAAAAAAGCTGAATATAAAAGCAGATTTAAAGTCTTCACTTCACGCAGTCTTTTAATTATATCTCTAATTAAACCTATGGTGCTCAGGAATCTGTATTGCCATTTGAGAAAAGTTATTTTGACATAGCAAACATATTTTTAGAAAATACAGGGAAAGCTCATCATGCTACAAATTGGTATGGATACAATCTACAGCAAGGGAGAAGACTGAGAAGCTAAAACTATGAGAGATGCTGTACCTTAACCCCAAATGAAATAACAGACCTGTTAAGGAGCCTGGGGTGATTCAAGGGCAAGGGGACTGAGAATCACTGCAAGGCTGGCAAGAGCTGTAGAGCACCCAATCTTACTAAGACAACTGGAACTTTAGGACATAAATAACACATACCATGCCAAAGCCAGTATGAAGGCATTAATGTCTGTACTCAGAAAAAATAAGAAAAAAGTAATGTAAAATTTAAAGTTGTAGTATGGAAATAATAAACAAGACAAAGGATATATACTTCATTCATAGTGTTTTTCATTTATAAAACATGACATAGCTTCTTAAAAATACATTACAGTAGGTTCCATGAAAAAATGTGGCTGGGGAAAAAAATTAGAAACTGAGGCTGTGGCTGGGATAGCATTTCCATTTAATTTCTTCTAAATTTCAATATTACATTCTAGTTTGTACTGTCTCAGGATTGCTTGATTACAAATCCCTCTAAAAATCCTTGACAGAACACAAAAAGTGCTTCCCAGTTACTAAAGAGAGTCACCGGTTTCTGCATTCAGATACATTCAAACAATATGTCCTTTTAAACTCTAAATGTCTCATTGCATACAACCTTCAGCAATGAATGTGCACTTTGGTGCATATGAAAGTCATGGCTGAGACATCAAGATGTTTGATATACTGCACATGTACATTAGTTTTCCCTGATGATTTATATGCATAGCTATTGGGTTATCCAAATATAAACTTGCACATAGCTTCAGAGCTTGGAGAGTTCCCACCCTTTTTAAATGCAGGCAACCTTTCTTCGCCATGAATTCCCATTAGGCCTCTATAGTGCACTTGCCAGAAGGCTGAAGTTCAGCAGGTGTGGTCTTTCTGTAAATATTTCCCAGTGGAAGTTTAATGTGAACCTCTCACACACATAAAAATATAATACTCAGAGAAATGTTGCTGGATGAGGACCTCAGATTTAAAACTCAAAGGGGAAGGGACTATGTCTTTTCGTATACACTAGCTAAATGTATATGAAAGCTGCTAAATCATTTAAAGGCATAGTTCTGAAAAGCCCTTGGCTTATTCTGGAAACCAAAAGAAATTCAGGCTACTTAACAATCAGTATAATGCTTTACAAAATGAAAGCAAAAAAGTGTAGCTACATGTTTCCAGATAGGTGACATGAAGATTATTCACTTAGCCTTTGCAAAATATTGGAGCTTAAATATTGTACAAAGGCTACATGTTATTAAAATATATGCTGTCAGTGCCTCTTTGCACTGTCATGCTCATTAGGACACAGTAATTACAGTAGTGCTCTTCTGAGAGGTAGATTACACTTCTCACACCTTCTGTTAAGGATCCAAACATAATGCAACCTTATAGCTAAAACTGAACATATCAAGAATTGACCTGAGAACCATATACCATTTAAATTGAGATATTATTTAAAGAGAAATTAAAATCGACATCTTCTAATATAGGGAAGCTACCCTCCCCCTTTCAGCTGAACAATTTGTCCAAAGGCCTGAGTCTGGACTCACTGCACATCCCACACAGCTGATTCTAAGAACAAACAATTCCTTTGGGGTCTAGAACGCACACTGGATTCTGACTTAGTTGGAATAAATATATTTTCAGCAAGAAAGAAATCAAATTAGCTCAGTTTTGAGGCACACATGATCAGAGAAATAAAAGCAGGTGTGCAGTATAATTTCATTATGGAAACCTACATTTCAAGTGAAAATCTACAGTCAGCTACAAGAATTACAGAGAAAGATGCTGCCTATTCAGTTATCTATTTTATGAATGCACTATGTGGATCATTACCTTCTGCCTTCAGCAAAACTCCTTTCCAGTCCACCTAAATTTCACTAATTAATGTTGTATCTACATCACACAGTGAAAAAAAAATAAATTAGGGGGCTCTTGCACTGGAAGCATTTAATTCATTTTTTTTTTAATTAAGGGTTATTCTAGTAACAAAAGGAAAAAAAGCCTACTACCTTTAGGTGACTGTTTTAGGAGGCAAGATCTGTCATCTTATGATGGAAAAACACTATTTCATGTGATAAAGAATACTGACATTTCTCTTTAACATATGTTAATAATACGACCTATATCCCTTTTTGGTTTCCTCATGTCTAAATCCACCACCTGCAGTTTGCATTAGTAAAGATAAACAGATACTAAACCTTATGACAAAGGCACTTCAGCTACACTATGATTTCTGGGAACATAGCCCACATTCATTATGCCACACTAACTCGATTTGCTTAGGGACAGGTCTGCATTGCTAGAAGCCTGTTGCCTTTCCTCATCCTTCATGCAGATGTATTTGAAAGTATTTGTCAAAACACTTTATGTTCTGTTTTCTATTTGCTTCTTTCAACTTCTGCTAGGGCATCAGCTAGCAAACTGTTATGATCGATTCCTGTTTATTAATTTACGTCAGAATAAGCATCTATTGGGACTGCAGCATACAGGGCTTGAATATGATAACCACTTCATGGACAGCCACAATAAATGCATAATTGCCTCTCTGTAGACCAGTGCTTCTAACAAACAGAATTAGCACAGTACAGTAGGATCACTGTTATGCTTTTGAATGCCAAGTTGATTCATACAGATGAGCAGCTGAGTAGTGCAGAGGTAAATTGCCATCGTTCTCCACAGCACAGCCCATGTGCACACTGTATACATGTTCTGCAGTCCTGGTTAGTGTTGGCCAACCAACCATTAAAACAGTTGTGACAATGGAGGTTCTGTGGTTTGAACAAAGATTATGGGTATCAGAAGTAGAACAAGCACCAGTTTTCAGCGAATGGGGAGCTCACACTTTGTAGGGAACAAGAATAATACCTGTACCCTTAGTTCAGTTATCACAAATGTCACCTGTAGCATTTGTTCACCATCAGGGCAAGTTCATGAGAACTATTCCAAGA